GCTGGAGAGAGAGGCAGAGGCCATGCTGCAGTCACTCCTCACAGGCCTCACCATACTGCTGGGCTGCCCCAGCCCCCTCCTTGGCCCTGAGCTAGGGATGGCATTGCCACCCCAGTGCTGTTCACACAACAGGTGCAGGCATTTTCAGCCCTGGGCCCTTCCACCCTGTTATTGCGGGCCTGACATATCCTGTTTTTCTAAGCTTGCCCCACAGGGTGGGCAAACAGGACCAGCTGGATTAGAATGTTTGGAAAGGGGTTGATGAGGTGCCCAGGCTGTGTCATGTCATACTGGGGAGTCAGATATTTTCTCCCTTCCCTGGTCTTTGGGCTGGGACTCCCTGAGGAGGCAGGGGCATGACCCGTCCCACCCACCTATGGTCCATGAGTCATTTCTCCAGTACATCTTTGATAAGCATCTGCTGAAGGAATGGCATCGTGTTAGGTGCTTGGAATACACTGAGGAATAACTCAGGTTTGCCCCTTGAAAACAGCCCCAGCCAACTGAAAAGGTACTGCATGAACACCCAAGAGATTGTCACAAGGCAGAGGAGCTGCGGTAACAGCTGACTTTGATTTAGGATAAATGAAAGGCTGAACTAGGCTCTGGGTTAAATATTCCATCTGTGGCTTATTTAATTCCCGACAACAACCCTAATAAGATAGTTTCATTTTTATGATGAGGAAACTGCACACAGAGAGGTGAAATGACTTGCCTAAGGCCAGACAACTTCTGAGTTGTGGTGCCCAGATTCAAATCCAGGCAGTCAGCCTCCAGCATCCCCACTGTGTCACCACTAGGTATACTGCCACCCGGAGAATCTGCTAAGCCTTTTATTTTAAATAAATACTATGAATTCAGAAAAAAGAGCAATTACTGTGGCTTGAGGGTATCCACAAAGGCTCCCTGGAGAGGGTGGGACCTGATTTGGGCCTTGAATCATGGGTTGAATGGGACAGGAAGAGAAAAGGATCAGCTATTCAATTTAATTACCCTTCTCCTTTGAATCATCACTTTCAGCCTAGAATGGCAAAGCTGGCGGGGACCCTAAAGATCGTCTAGCCCAGGGGTTCTTAAACTCTCTTAGGATGCAGACATTTTCCTTTAAATGAAAGATGAATCGAGATCTTCTATCTTAAAGAGGAGGCCCAGACTTCCCCTAATCCTTGAGGGCCACTTTTTTTTTTAAGGTTTTTTTATTTTTCCTTTTTCTCCCAAAGCCCCTGGTACATAGTTGTGTATTTTTAGTTGTGGGTCCTTCTGGTTCTGGCATGTGGAGTGCGCCTCAGCGTGGCTTGATGAGCGGTGCCATGTCTGCACCCAGGATTCGAACTGGCAAAATCCTGGGCCACCGAAGCGGAGCGTGTGACCCTCTCAGCCATGGGGCTGGCCCCTAAGGGCCGCTTTTATCTTTGCTGTCTGTAAGAGGCGGCGGCAGTGGTTCCAAAAAGGTGGAATGAAGGAGGCATTTTAAACAGTGAGTGACCAGCTAGGCACTCTGCTGCTGCCTCTTGTCCGTTTTCGCTTGTGTCTTGCCTCAGATTGAATTGTATGTTGAGAGCTATAGATGAGTAACAGAGTGAATGAAAGGAGTTGGGGCTTAGAACTGCTGGAGATAAAAATGGGGGAGTGGTTTAGTTGGAGAGGGTCTTAAAGAAAAAGCTGAATCCTTTGGGACTGGAGAGTGAGCGTAAATCTTCCTTTCCTTCATCCAATACTGCAGTGTGGTCTCCAGGAAATGTATCAGGCACTGTAAGACCCTACAGGGCCTTGTCTCATAAGAGAAAGGGGATAGTCAGCACCTTTCTCATTGTCACCTCTACCTTCCCTAGATATGTGCAGGTGAAATTTGTCTGTATTCGGACCCAGTCAAACAGGAAGAGAACACCAGAGGAAGACATGTGCCCAGCGTATTTGCTCCTGCGGTATAATGAGAAACTGGATAGACTATTTATCAGTGAACTCAACACCCAGCATATACATGTTGACTCTAAAACTGAGGGTCCTGGAGGAGACGCCACTGGTAAATCTCAAAAGACAATGTGCCTGCAGAAACCCCAGCCTGCACAGCCCACAGGCAAGAAGGACCTTGACACAGCTGAGAAGTCCCTGGTTGAACCATCATTTTGCTTAGATAAGGTCCAAGCACCCTCAAAGCAAGAGCAAGAGAGCATCACTCCTTCTGACCTGGCCAAGATAGCAAAAGTGATGAAGAACTTTCTTAAGGTGGATGAAGGTTCCATGGCCTCCTTCAGTGTGGGCAACAGCCAAGACCTGGACCGGCTCAGCTTCCAGAGCAGCAAGATGAGCAACCTGTTCATCCGTTTCCCAGAGAATCTCTTGCTGCACCGGGTGGAGAATGCTCAGGGCCACATCCTCTATGCTTTCTTGGTGGAGAACAAGGAACGAGAGAGTCGAGTGGTCCACTTTGCTGTGCTCAAGGCTGAGACAGCCACCTCCGTGGCCAAGATGCTGAGTATTTTCACAGAGTTCAACTCAGATTGGCCCAAGGTCAAGGTGGTCTTTGTGGACCCGTCCTTCCCTCATCGAGCCATCCTGCAGGAGATCTTCCCTGCTGCTCGCATCCTTCTTTCTATCTACCACACAACCCGTCTCTTGGAGAAGAAGTTGCATCGTAGTTCAGCACATCCATCCTTTAAAAGGCTTATGAAGGAAGCCCTGCGGGAAGCTGTGTTTGTCACTTCTGATGCCAGCGTGCAAAATCTCTGTCAGATGTCCCAAGCCCTACTAGATGGGGAGCTCTTCAGTTTCCTGCAGGCCCACTGGTTCTCCTGTGAACTGCTGTGGTACATGCATGTCAGGAAGGGCCTGCACGCATGTAACACCTATATGGACAGCCTAGACGTTGTCACCAGCAAGGTGTCAAGCCTCTTTCGAGAACAGCAGTCCCTGCTGGACTGCATCCTCCGCTTTGTGGATTACATAGACTTCTTTAATACCAAAGGCTTGAAGAACTTGCCCATGGCTCCTCCCAAGTTAAAGAGAGCCCGGCCAGCAAGCATACCACCAAAGTCCAAGAAGGCTTTTGGAATTTGTGGAGGGAGCCTTACCAGGCTTCTTGTGGATGAGAGAAAGCCAGACCCACAGCTGTTGCAGCAGCAGCCACAGGTGCAGCCCTCCCGGGGTGGCATGCTAGACACCTTGCACCAGAGTGGCTCTGAACTGGCCTATAAGCTGTGCCACAATGAGTGGGAGGTGGTGCAGAACTCCACCCACCTGGTGGACATGGCTGGCTCCTCAGTGGACGTTCAGCTGCTAGAGGACTCTCACCAGGTTAGCAAAGATGGCTGTAGCTGTAGCTGTTCCTTTCAGCAGTGGTACCACCTGCCATGCCGGCACATTTTGGCCTTGTTGCACACCAGCCAGAAGCCCGTGGGAGAAGCCATGGTGTGCCGTCGGTGGCAGAAAAGGTACCAGCACCTCCTCGGGCCCAGTGGGGAACTCCGGGACCCTGTTGTGGTCCCAAACACAGGCCAACCTGGGAAGCAAGGACGGAATGACATGATTCAGGACCTAAGCAGGGAGCTAGCAAACCTGCTAATGCAGAGTGAGGGGCCGGAGCTGGAGGAGCGCTGTTCTACCCTGCGCAAGATTGTGGACATCTGGGCTGACCCGTGCCAGCAGCCTGAGCCCAGTCACCAGCCTGCGGACTTCAAGGATGTGGGCCGCCTCCCTTTCCTCTGGGGAGAGCAGGAGGAAGGGGAGAGACTCCCTCCTGCGAGAGCCACGATTCATGATTAAAACACTTGCACTGGCGCACTGGACCACAAACCCCTCTCCTTGGAAGTCGGAGAGCTCAAAGTGGGCAGGACATGCCAGAGGTCAGCATTTTAACCAGTGTCTTCCTAGGTAGGGCTAGGAAGATTGTTACAATAGGGAGAAGAGGAGCCCCACTGTGTGACAGTCCTTTGAATCTGCCCTTTTTCCACCCTACCTTTGGCATTCCTTGGGAGCCTCGTTCATTGTTCAAGGCCAAAGTTATCTCCATGCTGAAAGGTCATCCCTCTTTCTCCTCTGACCCCTGAGATCCGATCTTATTCTCTTTATAGAGATGAACCCCCGCCCTGGGATAGGGTGAGACCATTTAAAATGGACCTGGTGAAAGGGCCTGTTTTCGGAGACAAAGGGAAGGAGGGTGATCCTTGGCTGTTGCTGCTCTTTACAAAGAATCTGTTATTTGTACCTATTTTTATTTATATTAAATAAAGTGTTTTTTTTAAATAAAATCAAATAAGCAGAGTAAAGGTGTGCTGCTTGAACAGTGAAGGAATCTAATGGGGGTTGTGGAGCCAAACAGAACTTGATGCCTCAAATTCAGACTGGGCAGTCCACCACTGAACTTCACCCTCTTCCCACCAACCAAGCCTTCAACACTGATTTCAGCTGCCTTGTACTCTAGCAGGAGGAGGCCGATTAGACTGGGAGGGAAGAAACCTGAGTCCTAAATCCGACTGCCCGCAACCGCTGGGGGACTGTGGGCAAGTTCCTAATTTCTTTGCCCCAGTTTCCTCATCTGTAAAAATTAGTGTGTTGGTCTGTTCTAATCGCAATTTCCCCTCTAGATTTATATAAACAGAACATTTTCATTGCAGTTATAAGCACCGACACTGACTTTTGTTGTTGTTAGTTGTAATCTTAATTACCTAAAGCCCGGTAGCCATCCAGCTTTCCAAGGTGCCATCTTCTGGCGAACTGAGGTCAAAAGATGGCAGGCAGCCTTGGTTCACCTTGACCTTCCCTTCTGGATCTCTCTCTTCCCTAGAATACTGGAGGGGGTAGGGCTGGGCAACACCAAGCTTCAGGGCTCTCAAGGAGATCTGGATTTCCTCAGCTCCCAGGGTTGGGCCCCGACCCCTGATGTAGAGACAGAATTGGAGACCTGGGCCTCAGTTTCCCCATAAGGCAGAAAACAGTACAACTACACGTGCATCCTTTCCTACCCCCCTGGGGCTTTGGAGTGTGACCAGAAAAGAAAAAAATCCGTAGAACACTGCTATTTATTTTCCTTTTCATTTTCGGCTTGTGAGGGAGTTTCCATAGTAGCACGCCTGTCCAGTCGTCTGCCCGGAATCCAGGCTCGAGAGTTCCTGTCTCAGGGCTCAGACTGGCAGGAACAAGAGCGTCCTCAGGCTTTCATTGGTTACCGCCAGCCGAGCCCCTCGTAGCCCTGGTAACGGCTCTGCCACGAGTCGCCAGGCTGCGATTGGTCCGTGCGCCAAAGGCCGAACACGAACTCCTCAGGCCGTTGGCCCGAGTCACGGGAAGCGGCGCCGCGGCTGGTGATCCTAGAGGTCAGTCACAGTCAGAGGCAGGGTCAAATAGGGAGAAATGGCGACAGAGCCAGGCTGTGGGTGAGTGGTTTTTGAAGGGGTGGAGGTGTGAGGCACCTGATGACCACCGTCACCCATGACACGGCTCCAAAAGGGGCGGGAGGATGACTGCTCTTCTGGCTCCGGCCGGACTCCGAATGGGAACGTCAGACATCCACGTCCTCCCACCCGCGTTAGAGGTGAGAGGTCAGAGGCCGCGTCCCCTCTCGGTCCCTGGTTTTTGGACTTCAGGTGCTGTAGAAAACAGTCAGGATCGCCAGCCAAAGGCTCAGCGTCCACCTGCTTACAGGGCAATAGTGGGCAAGTTACTTAACCTCTTTGAGCCTCAGTTTCTCATTTGTAAAATGGGGACAACCCGGTTTGGGGCCAAATAAAGGAAGCATTTGACTGGCACATTGCAGTTGAGGGATTTACATAGAGGCGGAGAAGCTATGCACGTTTGTTAGCTCCGTTTTGTGGTTGAAGGGATTGAGGCCCAGGAGGAATCACTGACTTGCCGGAGATCACACAGCAAGTTGGGGGCAATTGCAGTTCTCTTGCGTGTACCAGGACCAAATGAAAGAGTGGATGCCAAGAAGTGATTTGTAAATATAAAGTGCTAGACAAATAGAAAATGCTATTAAGAAAAAGAAGACCATATGCAGCTCTAGCCTTCACACTCATCTCATGGAACCAAATCTTTCCATGTCTGGCTTAAAAATTAGGTCTCAACTCCAATGTCATCCTGCCTGCCCACAGAGGGGGCTTCCCAGAAGACCTTAGCTAAAGTATCCCTCCCTCCCCCGACTTACTCTCTACCTGTTACCCAGTTTTGTGGTCTTTGTAACTTTTATTATCTGATATATCCTTGTTTGTTTACATGTTTATTGTGTATCTCCCCAGAACAGTGCTCATGCATAGTAAGTGTTCAGTAAATTTTGTCTGGATGAATAATTGAAGAGCCAAGCCTCTATTCTCTCCTTAAACCTCTGTTCCTCTCCATAGGCCCATCTTTGGAACAAGATCTGGGAATTACAGTCCAGCCTCAGGCCTCAACTTAGTTGGAGCTTGAGAGACCGAGAGCCTCCTGGACAGCAGCCTCACAGAGAAAGTACTTTGACCTTGGCATCTAGACTTCTCCCATCTCCCCCATGGCCCTGACAATGCTGAATGAGCTCCTGATTGAGGACCCAAGCCCACCTATGCTGCTGTACCAGGTTAGCAAGACTGCCCAGTTAGATACCCTCAACTATCAGAGCTGCTTTATGCAGGGCATCTTTGCCCATTTCCCTGAGATCCTATTTATCCACCGGACCTATAACCCCAGGGACAAGGTGTTATATACCTTCCTGGTGGACGGACCTCAGGTGCAGCTGGAGAGTCATCTCGCCCGGGCAGTCTACTTTGCCATTCCTGCCAAGGAGGATGCTGAAGGCCTGGCCCAGATGTTCCAGGTGTTCAAGAAGTTTAACCCAGCATGGGAGAGAGTGTGTACCATCCTAGTGGATCCCCATTTCCTCCCCCTGCCCACCCTAGCCATGGAGTTCCCCGCAGCCGAGGTCCTGCCCTCAGCCTTCCACATCTGTAAATTCCTCCAAGGTAAGTTCTATCAGCTGTCCCTTGAACAGCCTGTGGAGAGGGCGCTCCTGACCTCACTGCAGAGCACAATGTGCTCGGCCACAGCTGGCAACCTGAGGAAGTTGTATACACTCCTGAGCAACTGCATCCCCCCGGCCCAGCTGCCTGAGCTCCACTCACACTGGCTGCTCAATGACCGCATCTGGCTGGCCCACCGCTGGAGAAGCCGATCCGAGAGCAGCCGCTACTTCCAGGACCTAGAGGTCACCACCCGTGTCCTCAGCCAGTTCTTTGGCACCACCTCGTCTGTGGAACAAGGCATGACCTCTCTGCTCCGATACATGCAGCAGAACTCCAGAGACAAGGCAAGCTTCAGCCTGGGCCTGAGTCCCCAGAACAATTATGTCCCCTCATATGTCACCCCTGAAAGCCCCAAAGTGGAGCAGTTGGTAGAAGCCCGCATCCAGCACTCCCTTAATGCCATCTGCACGGGCCCAGCGGCCCAGCTCTGCCTGGGTGAGCTTGCTGTGGTCCAGAAATCTGTGCACCTCATCGGCTCTGGCTCCGAAAAGGTGAACATACAGATCCTGGAGGACACCCATAGGGTGCAGCCCCAGCCCCCTGCCAGCTGCAGCTGCTACTTTAACCAGGCCTTCCACCTGCCCTGCCGCCACATCCTGGCCATGCTCAGCACCCGCTGCCAGGTGCTCCAGCCCGACATGCTGCCAGCTCAGTGGACAGCAGGCTGTGCTGCCAGTCTAGACAACATCCTGAGCAGCAAGTGGAGTGAGACCCTGGATAAGCACTTGGCAGTGGCTCTCCTCACTCAGGAGGTGGGTCAGCTCTTACAGCACTGCAACCAGGAGGAGTTTGAGCGGCGGTACAGCACGCTGCGCGAATTGGCTGATGGCTGGATCGGCCCTTATGAGCAGGTCCAACTCTGATTTCCGTCACTGCCCAGGGATGCTCATCCACACTGTGCACACTCACATCCACCCCCACATGCACACCCCCACACACTCACACTGTTGTACTGCCATGGGCCCTCCTTCCAAGAAAAGATAAGAGTCCTATTTTACTGCAGCCTGCTACGTAAAATGTTTCTAGTTCCCCAAGATAAGAGTCAGCAAATCTTTGCTGTAAAGGGCCCAATAGTAAATATCTTAGACTTCAGTGGCCACATGTAGTAGTCTCTGTTGTATATTCTTGTTTTCATTGTGGTTTTTTTACAACCTTTTCAAAAGGTAAAAACCATTCTTAGCTCAAGGGCCTTACAAAAATTGCTAACCCCTGCTCTAAGATAAGAGATAAGACACTGAGTGAAGATAGAGGGCTGGGCCTTGGTTTCAGACACTCACCTGACCCACAGAGGAAAAGGCCCCTCAGGGGAGGTGGCTCACTAGGCGCCCAGGCTCCTTCCTGCAACCCCCTCACCCATGCTGAGTTCATTAAAGTTGAATGTTGCCTATTCCAGCACTTATCTAGTTCTTTGTCTTATAGAAGGCAGTTTAGGAAATACTGTGGAAAGAATACACACTTCAGAGTCTGACACTACATGCAAATCCTCGTTCCTTCCCTGCCTGATTTTTGAGGCCTGGTTCTTTTTTTTCAGTGGAGAAGACTGGCCCTGAGTTAACATGTGTTGCCAATCTTCCTCTTTTTGCTTGAGGACGATTGTCTCCAAGCCAACATCTGTGCCAGTTGTCCTCTATTTTTTGTACGCGGGATGCTGCCACAACAGGGCCTGACAAACGGTCTGTAGGTCTGCGCCCAGGATCCAAACCCGTTCACCCCAGACCACCGAAGCAGAGCATGCAAATCCAACCACTGTGCCACCAGGCCAGCCCCTGGTTCTCCTTTTTACTAGCTATGAGACTTCGGGCAAGTCGCCTCTCTAAGCCTCAATTTGTTCATCTGTAAAAAAGGGGATCCCCACAGCATTGGTAAGTTTAAAGGAAAATGGGCATATAATGGGCCTGACACCCAGTGGGTGCTCAGATAAATGTTAATTTTCCTTCCTTGCTGATGGTCCCATCACCTGCACTCAGTAGGCTGGGAAATGTAAGGCAAGAGGAAAATTCACATTGCCTAGGACTTTGTACAAGAAATTTTGATCAGGTCCCAAAATGATACAAAAGAAGCCTCGACTCTCCAAGCAGGGCCCCTACCACAGGTAATTTTCATCATTACTACTCTCACAAGACTGTCTCCTGGCTTCCTGGTATCTGGAGAAACTTCCTGGTGTCTGGGCCCTGATGAAGGACTGGTGTTTGTCAGAGTGGCTCAAACAACCACCCTATCCCCTCCCCTGCCATAGGCACCCCCAACCCTGTCTGCCCAAAAACCATACGGAGAAGCCACCCTATGTGTCTGGTGCAATTTCATCCAGCTACAAGCAGGAGCCAGGAGGCTGGCCCCTCCTGGATCTCCCTAGGGCCATGTGCCCAGAGGCTGTGTGGGCTTGTGCCTGTTCCCACCGCACCCCCTCCACAGCCCCCTCTGGCTCCGGATGGGCCATCATGAAAGCTTGAGCCGCCCGAATCAGGTCCTCTTCCCGCAGGCCTGGGACAGGCACGGTGGGGATGCCAGCGATCATCATGGCCAGGGTAAGGATGCAGATGTCAGGCTGGGAGCTGGCTTCCTTCCCGCCTGTCTCAGAGGGCATCGGCAGAACCCCTGGTGACAGCTCACACAGTAGCAGGGGTCCAGGCCTGCTGGGGCCACCCCGGTGGGGATCTCTGCTGCTGGAGCAGCCATCCTCCCAGCCCAGGTTCTCCGGCTGCCTTGCATGGGGGAATTTGTGGCAGTATCGGCCATACTCCTTCTGCCGCAGTGTCTCCCAGCCAACCCCCCCAGGGCAGCCCCTGGCTTCTGGCACTGCCAGGGCCGGGCTCCAGGCCTGGGCAGCACGTGCCACCTGCTCAGCTTTCTGGCTCAGTGGGCCTAGTCCACTAGAGGCCACCACCATTGGCTCTGCAGGACTATAGAGGCCAAGGGACGAGCCCGGAGAAGCAGCCCCACCTGCAGAGATAGGAATGAGATGGAATGTTATTCTTGGTCTCTTTGTGGAGGCCCTGAGGGGCAGATCATTGGGAGCAGGAGCAATTAAGACCAGCCCAAGACGGCTGTCTAGCAGTTGGGGACTATGTTTTACTCATATCCACACCCCCAGTCCCTAATACTGAGTAAGTGATGGAGAAGTGTTTGTTGAATGAATGAGTGAGCAAGTGGGTAGGTATTGGCAAGGACTTTTGGAATGGCTTTTCTTCAAAGAGAACTGACTCCAGGGCCAGCCCAAAAATACCCAGCAGAAGCTCCACCTCCCCAGAGCCAGGAATCAGGTTCTCAGGGGAAGTTGCCATACTCCCTCCAGTTCCAAGTGCCCCTCTCTCACCTTGGCCAGAAGGCAGAAGACCCGGATGAGTTTGTGGAGACATGAAATAGGACATGGCTACCCCGAAGCCCCTATTTGTGAGGGAACAGTTGTCTGCCTCCTGTCCTACTCTCTCCATCCTTCTAGAATGTTACCTCATAGTCCCTTCTCTTTACACCTGAAACCCACCTCACAGCATTGACCTGTTCATTCTAGAACCTGAATATGACAATGGGATGAGGTTAAAAGAGTGCTGGACCAGGAACTGGTTATTCTAGGTTCTTGCCTTTACCCTGGGCAAGTCATCTGAACAGTTTTGTTCCTTGATATTCTCATCTGTAAGGCGGAGGTGATGACCACCTACTACCCCAGCAGAAGTTGTAAGAGTTAGATGAGATCACGTGTATGGAAGCAAGTGATCAGAGATACCACTAAAAGAATCTAGTGCTTTGTGTCCTGTAGCGTGAGAAAAGGAATACTCTGCATTCACTCATTTGCTGTGTGACCTTGGACAAAGACTTTCCCATCTGTGGGCCTCAGTTTCCCATCTGCAAAATGAAATAGTTGGTCTAGGACACTGCTTTTCAGGCCGGCTGCACATTAGAATCTCTTGGGAGCTTTTAGAAATCCTGACGCCCAGCCTCATTCCAGACCAATAAAATTAGAATCCCAGGGTCAGACCTAGTTATCAGTATTTCAGTGGTTATGCATGCTGAAGCTGAGCCCTTTGTTTTAGGGAAATGGTTCTCAACCCTGGCTATGGTTTAGAATCTCCAAGGGAGCTTTTACAAAAACAATGTCTAGGCCTAATCCTCCCACAGATTGAATGAGAATGCCTGAAGTTGAGGTCTGGGGCATCAGCACCCTAAGCATCCCAGATAGCTCTAATGAGTAGCCAGGCTAGGAACACTGGTTAGGTGACGTATAAAATGCTCGCTCTCTTGCTCTGACCTGCTGACCCACAGTGATTCTAAAAGAAGTGCTCCTCATGGGCTTCAGGGGCAAGGAGACCCTCCAGTGATCAGTGTCAGCATCAGCTGTGTTTATTTCTGGTCCTGGCTGGCAGCAGTGTGGGCAGCTTCAGACCAGCCGCAGCTCTGGGGCCAGGACGCGCTCTTGGGGCCCTGCTCCAGGGTGGCTGCAGGCCTTCACCCATACTTGCAGAAATCCTTAAGTCCTTCGGGCAGGTGGAGTCCATCAATGGCCAACCGGTGCACCACGCTCCTCTGGATCACCAGGCGGCACAGAGTCTGCAGGGACGGCACTGTGGAAAGAAGGCTGTCAAAGGCAAACTGAACTACAGGGTGGGTCTGCGGCTGAGACGCAGAATATCTAGGTCTTGGTCCCCCCTTTGTCATTAACTTGAGCAAGTCCCTTCTGCTCTCTAGGCCCAGCCTGCTTCATGGGGCTGTTCGTGTGGTTGAGATAAGCACTCTTTCACAATGTTGCAGCCCTAACACTCAGCACACTCCCTTCCCCCTCACTTAGCAGCTTCGGGGGCCAGGGTAGTGTCTGATTTACCTGAGCAGCCCCAGCCTCCAGCAGAGGCCTGGCACAGAGTGGGTTCTAGTTCACAGAATTTATAAAATGTGATCAGAGGTATAAATAAAGGGCTTAACAGGGCTATAATGAACCACACCTCAGGATTAAGAAACTTTTAATCTGGGGTCTGTGACGCCCTTAAACTGGTATGCCCAAATCTATGAGCATTTGTCTAATAAAGGGCACATAATTCTCAGAGGCCCAGGATCTAAAATCAGTTTAGAATCCCTAGGTTAATATACAGAAAATATTGTCAAAGCCAGAGGGAATTTGCAGGGCATCCTGCAATCACAGCCAAGGGTAAACCGAGGCTTGCTAGCCGGCGTGGGAGTCCTAGCAGGTTCCTGTCTCCACGCTGGGCCAGAGAGGACCCTGCCCGGGGCCTGGGATACGTACAGCCATACTCAAGCTGGACTAGGCGCACGCTCTTGGTGGAGGCAAACACGTCCACCACTGCGTAGAGGGGCTGGGCGGCTGGCAGCCCCCGGGCGCTGGGGCCCATATCCTCGCCGTTGATGACGATGTGCATGTCGGCCGTGCCATCCGGGCGCGGACAGAAGAGAACGCCCAGGCGGCTACGGCGCGCAGTTGGAGGCAGCACATTTAGCTCATAGAGCTGGTCCAACAGGTGGCTGTAGAGCCCAGGCCGGCTGCGGCCCACCAGGCGGTCGCGGGGTATTCGAAACTGCTCAATGCACAGATACGGTTCCACTAGGAGGGTTGGGGGTCGGCTGGGGGCCGCTGCGTCTGTCTCTGGGCGGCCCTCTTGAGGCACGCGGTTGTGATGGCGCGTGATGGCGAAGACCCATGTGTGGCCGAGGCTGACCAGGTCGGGCAGTGAAAACTCAGGTACGGCGGCCAGACTGGCCGGGTCTAGAGCAGTCAAGCCGAGGCGCAGGTGCCCACACCAGCCCAGCTCTTTCTCCTCGATCTCGACCAGGAATACTTGGCCCGGGGCCAGCGGCTCGCGACTGAAGCACACGCCGTGGGCGAAGCTCTCCACCCGTGTGGCCCGCGTCCCGGAGAGGTCCACGCGGATGTTGGCACCGTGTACCTGGTGGAAGCGGGTGGGAGAGGGCTCGGGGCGCGCGGGTCCCCAGGGCGCACCCAATTCCGCGCGGTTGGAGACAGCAGCCATCTCCCGGCCATGAAGCAGGCCAGCGGGCGCCAGGAGCTATTTTGGGCGACAGGATCAGAAGGCGACCGCTGGGTAAGGTATTCCTCCCGATTCCCTTACTCTAGGCTCTGCCCGGGGGTCCTAGCGCCGCTTGCTCAACAATCCTGCCTAGAACAGGGTCCCCCGGGAGTCTGAGGGATCCTGGCCGCTCACACCTGGGTCATCGGGTCGCGAGCGCCCGGGATACGACCTGAGAGGTCCGCGGACCCTGACCCAGCGTGGATCGCCGCCGTGCCAGTCCCCTCCAATCCCTCAGTCTCCAGAGACCAGAGGAGGGGCCGAGGAAGACTGTCATGTGATGCCAGAGCACACGTGACTCTGAGTACACATGACCTTTCATCGCCGGGCACCTCCTGGAGAGCACAGACGCGGGGAGCAGAGGTGAGGAGACTCCGGAGGCTGGGAGCGATCGCGAAGCCCCCGGGCGGAGCGCGGCACACGGTGCCAGGCGGAGGAGGCTCAGCGGGTGGGAGGTGGGGCTGGGACCTGGGCTTCCCTCGCCGATGCGCCGCCAGCTCCTCCCCGGGGATGGCTGCACGGAAGCAGAGAGGAGCGCGGGAGCGAATAAACAGGCACCCACTTCCTCCCGCAGATGGTAAGAGACGCGCTGTCGCCGCCGTTCTTCCTGCTGCTGCTGCTATCCTGGGCGCCCCGAGGCGAGACAGCCCCCCAGCAGGATGAGATCCAGTGCCTGCCCGGACTGGCCAAGCAGCCGTCTTTCCGCCAGTACTCCGGCTACCTCAGAGGCTCAGGCACCAAGCACCTCCACTACTGGTCTGCGGCCCTCCCTCCCGGGCGCGGTTGGGAGGGGAAAATACGATGCCCACCGGGAGAGATGACCTGGGGCAGCGGGGAGGGGTTCTAAAGACCTCAAGGGACCCTGGGAGAAGGGAGGGCTGGAAGGGGACCCTCCACCTGCGCCCACCTTGCCCTGACTCCCTCCCAGGTTTGTGGAGTCCCAGAAGGATCCCAAGAGCAGCCCTGTGGTGCTTTGGCTCAACGGAGGGCCCGGCTGCAGCTCCCTAGATGGCCTCCTCACAGAACATGGCCCCTTCCTGGTGAGAGGAAAGCAGCTCTGTACTCTGTAACCCAGGAAAGGGGGCGCGAGGACAGTTCCCAAAGGAAAAGGCTGGGGAAGAGGGAGAAAAGGACTTGGTGATTTTCCAAAAATGTGCTCTTTTCCTGAGCCTCAGTTTCTTCATCTGGACCGTTGGCTTGACTATCTGTACCTCTCCGGGTTTTGCCTGAATGTAAAGTGTGCAGCATGGTGGCCCTTTGCCTCCACCCAGTTGGCCCTTGGGACTTAATCAGCCATCTCTTTCCTCCTCAGATCCAGCCAGATGGTACCACCCTGGAGTACAACCCCTACTCTTGGAACCTGGTATAGCCAGAGCTGTGGGTCCTGCGGGGGTCTGGGCACTTGGATAGGGTGGAGAGCCCTCTTCAGCTCGCTACTACCCCCTCCCCCTCCCTCCCCCCAGATTGCCAACGTGTTGTACCTCGAGTCTCCAGCTGGGGTGGGCTTCTCCTACTCGGATGACAAGTATTATAAGACCAATGACACTGAGGTGAGTCTGGTGCCTGCCCACGTGCCCCAGCCTCTCTGGTTCTCTAAAGGTGGTGTCATGTGGGAAGAGAAAGAGCATGGCCTTGGAGTCCGTTTTTGGCTCCACCACATGCTATGTGGTGTAGTCTTGGCCAAGTCACTTCCTCTTGCACAAACAGGGTGGGTTGGTGTCATTATCTCTGAGATTCTTTCTAGGTCAAATACCAAAGCCTTCCAATTCCCTCTATCCTGCTGTCTCCAGGTCGCCCAGAGCAATTTTGAGGCCCTTCAAGATTTCTTCCGCCTATTCCCGGAGTACAAGAACAACGAGCTTTTCCTGACAGGAGAGAGCTATGCTGGCATCTACATCCCGACCCTGGCTGTGTTGGTCATGCAGGACCCCAGCATGAACCTTCAGGTGCAAGGCAGCTGCAGAAGGAAGGGAGGCAATTTGTGGTCATAGCCTTGTGGTCAGCAAGGTCAAACAGGTCAACTCCTCTACCTGACCCAGTCTCCTTCATAACATCCTTGCCACTAGCTGGCCTATCTCCCTGGCGTGGCTCCCACGGCAGGAAGCTCACCTGTCAGGCTGCCAAGTCTGTTCTTTACGTTGAGTGGTCTCCCCCACCCACCCACCCCCACAAACCACGCTGAGTTTCAGCTTCCAGATTGCTGAAGGCCTGGGTGTGGGGAGGGAGGCTCCTCCTCCTCACTTTCCAGAGGAGCTGAAGGCCCTGGATGTTTCACAGGGGCTGGCTGTGGGCAATGGACTCTCCTCCTATGAGCAGAATGACAACTCCCTGGTCTATTTCGCCTACTACCATGGCCTTCTGGGGAACAGGTATGAGAATGGGGCAGCTGAGCAATCTCCAGGGTGGGACAGGTCCTCAGATCTCAGATCTGTCCTCCAGGCATGATATCCTAGGCCCTACCCTGGTTTTATGAGCAGAAGGTGGGGGCTGGGGTGGCTGGAAGGGTTTGGTGCTAAAAGGCGAAAGAATTCAAAGGGACTAAGGAGAACTGGCAGTATGGCCCTGGGGTAGCTAGCTTTGGGACCTACATCCCCCACTGTGATATATTTCCTAGTCCCCTGGGGTTATGTTGTGATTGGAGGTTGGAGGGAAAAAGTGGGGTGCTCACCTTCTCTACCCACCGAGGACCTAAATACTTTCATCTCCTACAGGCTCTGGTCTTCCCTCCAAACCCACTGCTGCTCTCAAGACAAGTGTAACTTCTACGACAATAAAGACCCAGAATGCGTGACCAATGTGAAGTTCTGCCCCTACCCTGTGTCACCCCTGACACCCCCAATCCTGAGGACAGGACCACATCCCCTCCCTGGGGACTCCCTCTTCCCCATCCCCTGTTGCTCTCCTGTCCTGCATCCCTCAGCAGTTTGGTGTTCTCTGGGACGCGTCTATGGATGTGTGCCCATCACCACTTCCTATGACCTTTGGGCAAATCCTGTAACCCCTGTGAGAAGAAAGGACTTATTTATCAAACATCTATGATGTGCCAGGCACTGGACTGAACTGTATCAATGTAGGTTTTCTAATCCTCAAGATTCTCCTTCAAGGGAGATCATATCATCCCCATTTTCCAGATGAGGAAACTGAGGCCAAGAATGTTGAAATCACTTGCCTGAAGTCACGGTGCTAGGAAGTAGAGGCACTAGGATTTGGACCTAGGTCTGGCAGATTCCTTCTACTGAGCCTCAGTCTCCCTACATGTGAAAAATGTGAGGGAAGGGTAATGACAAGGTGAAGTAGGAGAGCGAGAAATCTTAGGACAAGTTGCTGAGGTCACGGAGAGGCCAGGGTTGTAAAGCACAGTGGCTCGGTTTGTCATTGCAGCTTCAGGAAGTGTCCCGCATCGTGGTCAGCTCGGGCCTCAACATCTACAACCTCTATGCCCCATGTGCTGGGGGGGTGCCCAGCCACTTAAGGTAGGCCCTGCCATGTGCCCCTCGGGCCAACCCCAGCCCCATCTGGAGGCTCAGGTACCCATCCCCTCACTTCACTTGCAGGTATGAAGGCAGCACTGTTGTGGTCCAGGATTTGGGCAACATCTTCACTCACCTGCCGCTCAAGCGGACATGGCAACAGGTGTGCAAGGGTGTGGGCTTCTTCCCGGCAGGGTGAGGAGCGGCCAGGCGGGCAAGTACAGCCCCTGAGGCTCTTTCTGTGCCCTGCAGGTTCTGCTGCGTTCTGAGGGCAAGGTGCGTATGGACCCCCCCTGCACCAACACCACAGCCACCTCCACCTACCTCAACAATCCTTACGTACGGAAGGCCCTCCACATCCCCGACCAGCTGCCCCAGTGGGACGTGTGCAAGTGAGGTTCTGTGGCCACTTGTGGCCTTGGGGGTGGCAGGCTGTTGGGGCTCGTGGGCATCAGAAACGTTCCCAGGGATCCTTTGGCTAAGGTTTCTCAGTGGGGACACTGCGGATGTTCGGGGCATGACAGTGAGTTGTTGGACTGGGTGTTCAACATCCCTGACCCCTAAGTCGATCACTAGTCAGTCATTTCATTCTTAAATGGCCACACTGATTGTTAAAATAGCAATTACTTCCACAATATGTTTAGTAAACAGATACTCTCCCAACTCCCCTGCCCTCACCCCAACTCCAGTACCATCCCCAGCTGCCCGGATCTCCTATGACCCTGCAAGTACAAGGGTGACACCTGGCACAGCAGGGGCCACTCAGGTGCATTCCGATTGGTGAGTGCCCACGCCCTACTCTTGTTATATGCTGTGGCTCTCACACCTGCTAGCCCCTATGTACTAAAGGCCAGTTGTGTCCCAGCCATTGTAACAGCGAAAGTGAAAGTGTCCCTATACATTTCTAAATGAGGGTGGGTTGAAGACTTCTGAATTCCAGCCCCTCCCACCCCCCATCCAGGTAAGTCCAAGAGAGGTGACAGGCCCAAGGGGAGGACTGAATCCCAGCTATCTGCCTCGTAGGCCTGGAGCTTGGGGAAAGGAGAGGAGGTCTGATCTGTGGACTCTTTCTCCCCCTCCCTGGTCTCCCTTCCCACGTGCTCCCGCAGCTTCCTGGTGAATTTACAGTACCGCCGTCTCTACCAAAGCATGTACTCCCAGTACCTGAAGCTGCTCACCACACAGGTGAGTGGGCGCAGCACAGCAGGGTCCACCAGCAGCCCTAGGACCCTGGGGCAGCATGGTAAGGTGGGGGCCCCTTTAGAATGCCACTCGGAACAGAGGAAGCTGGATCTCCAAGAGGTGAAGTCACTTGCCCAAGGGCCTGTGGTTGGCAGGGTCAGGATTTGAACCTGGCTTTGTCCCCACCCCTGCTGCTCTGCCCGGAAGCTGAGGGGTCTGCATCAGCCAGGGAGCCTTTAGGGTGAGAAGAGCTAGTGGGATCTTGTTACAAATGGGCAAACAGAGGCCTAGGGTAGGAGAGGGCCTTGTCCAAGGTTACCTAGGAGGCACTGGCAGAGCCAGGTTAGGACCAGGTCCTGTACAGCACAGTGGTCAGAGCATGGGCTCCGGGGTCAGACTGCCTGGGTGCAAATCCCTTCACTAGCCATGTGGCCCTGGGCAAGCTTCTCAAATATCTTGAGACTTGGCTTTCCCATCCATAAAATGGGGTTAATAATGGTACCTACCTTCATAGGAAAAGCATTGAGTAGAGCACTGGACATGTAGGAAGCAGTCAGAACACATGAGCATTTCCTGGTTCATGCTATTGAATACCCTGAGGGGTGGAGGCTGAACCAGGGAAGGGCTGGGACCTAGCCTTATTCCAGACCCTCCATTTTTCCCCATCTTGCTCCAGAAATACCGGATCCTGCTGTACAATGGAGATGTGGACATGGCCTGCAATTTCATGGGGGATGAGTGGTTTGTGGATTCCCTCAACCAGAAGGTAAGGCAGGGATCCAGGCCCCAGGGTGAGGCTGGGTGCAGGGGTAGGGCGGGCGTGCTTGGCAGCTTGGCTCTGGCAGACAGAAGGCAATCCTGGAGGAGTTCCCGGCCCCTGAGGTCTTGCTGGCAGCTGTGAGCAGAGATGATGGGGCAGCTGCAGGCTGCTAAATCTTTCCTGATGGGGCAGATGGAGGTCCAGCGCCGGCCCTGGTTAGTGAACTACGGGGACAGCGGGGAGCAGCAGATTGCCGGCTTCGTGAAGGAGTTCTCCCATATTGCCTTTCTCACCATCAAGGTAAGGCCGGGGCCTGGCGAGGGCTAGAGGGGAGGGGGCAGGACCCACCCATCCTTTCCTTCCGGCTTCATTTTATGCTGGGTTACCATCTGGCCCTTGTAAGGGCAAGTTTTCGGGGGCGTGGGAAGAAGTATGGAGGGCTAGGGGGAGGGTTAGGGAGGAGGAAGGTCACAGGCTAGAGGGATCCAGTGGGACGAGGGGACAGCCCAGGGGCAGGGCTTCAGGGAGAGAATCTCACAAAGCTTTGCTCCTCAGGGCGCCGGACACATGGTCCCCACCGACAAACCCCTGGCTGCCTTCACCATGTTCTCCCGCTTCCTCAATAAGCAGCCATACTGATGACCACAGGGACCAGCCCCTCCTCCCAGTCTCTCTTGCTAGAAGGGAGGCCCTTCTTTATGCAAAATGCCCCTCAGGGGCAGATCTCTGCCTCCAGAACTGCCCCGCCCTCTTTGCAGCCCTGTGCATCCCAGACTGGGCCCCAGTGCCTCACATGGACAGTCTGGGGGGAGTTAGCACTTTATTCCTGATGGGGCCAGCTCAGTCCCCTCTCTGCTTAAAGAATGCCCTTAATGCACTGATCCCACCCCAGGAACACAAAGGAGCTCAGGACAGCGCACTGGGAGGGAACGAGGGACTGTAATTGATAGATTGACTGTGATTATGGAATTAAATTGGGTACAGCTTAAAACTCTGTCTTCTCTGTGGCACTGGGGGTTAGAGAGGACGGTGACAGGTTTGTCACTACAGGCTGGGAGGGGGCGAGGGAGGGGCTGAGAGGCCTTGGAGTCCTGAATGCAGCTGCCAGGGTGGCGGTTGAGGCTCAGACAGCTGCTGTGGGGGCTGGTGCGGCACTGGATGCCCCAGGCTCCCTGGTGTCAGTAGGCCGGTTCTTCTCAATCACTTCTCGCAGCCCTTTGGCAAAGTGGAGGTCGGCCCCGATGGTGACGAAGCCCTGTGTAGCGGGGCACAGAGGGGACTCTATTTACTCCATTACTGAGACTAGAGTTTAGAGATAGAGAGACAGAGTCGTTGGCCTCAGGTTCTCAATCAACCAGGAGAGATGGAGCAGCAAAGTGGTTCTTATAACTCTGTGTGAAGAGTGTTGAAATACAAGCTGCAGGAGCGCAACCTGTGGGGGTCAAGGAAGGCTTCCTGGAGGAGATGACCTCCTGGCTAAAACCTGAAAGATTAGTAGGCGTTGGGGATGGAATCAAGGAAGAGTGTCCCAAGGAGAGGGCGCGGCCTGTGCAAAGTGCTGGAGGAATCTGATGTAAGATTAAAATGGGAGGGGACAGTTGATAAGGGAGGAGCTGAAGTCAGCTCGCAGAGGGTTCTGGGGAGCTGTAGAGGGAGGGGAAGCCTCTGCCCACTGCCCCATCATGCCCCCACTTACCGCGTGGTTGGTCACCACTTCGCGCACAAAGTCGATACCCTCCGGTAGTGGGATCTGCACCCCACGCCAGGTCCGCTCTGTGGGTGCAAAGAGCTGGCTCCGTCTGGGCCCCCCCCCGCCCCCCGCTCACCTCTCCCCTCCTCCTCCCTCCTAACCCCCCCAACCCTACCGTTGAGCATGGGCATCACCGCAATCTGCAGCATGGTCTTCAGAGGGGCCTGTAGCGGGATCAGCTGGGAAGGAGAGGGCGTGACGTCAGGGCAGCGAGCAGGGGTGCACTTGTTCTAGCTGCCCACTCCTGACCCCAGCCGCGGCCCACCCACCACGCCCGACTCACTGCCAGTGACTCCAGTGCGGACTGGTTTGAGTAGATTCGGAACCTATGGGAGAGAAAGAAGCGCCGGGTGGGACGAGCCCTGGAAGCCCCCCTTCCTCAGGCTGCCCAGGCCGACCCACCAGAGGCCCCTGACTCTCAGTCCTAGACAGCCCCCCATACTCCATTCCAGGGGGTTCTGCCACTTTCCAGGTGGATATTCTTGGGTGAGTCATTTCTCCCTCTTTGGGTCCCCTTTTCTCCAAGTCTGCTACTTTTCATTTGTTGAGCCCTTCCTACATGTCAGACTTCTGCTGGTAGCTTTGCATGTGTCGTTTATTTTTATCCAACAAAACTTACAGTGCTTACTCTCTGCCAGATACTAAACATGTTTTAAAAAGTTAAATATTATTAAGATATTTTAGAATCCTCATAACACCCAAAAAGTAAGCACTATTATGATTCACACTTTTTAGGTGAGGCAGATGAGGCCCAGAGAGGTTAAGTCATTTTGCCTAAGGTCACACAGCTGGTAAATGGCAGAACCTACCTCTAGAATCTAGGCTCTTAACCACTACCCTGCATTATCTCATTTAACCCCCCTAGAACAATGCTGTCCAATAGAAGTTTCTGTAGAATGTTCTGTATCTGCACTGTCCACGCAGCAGCCACTAACTACATGTGGCTATAGAAATGTGGCTAGTGTCTACCATATTGAATAGCACAGCCCCAGAAAGTAGATGCTACTATTACCTATATTTAACATGAAGAAAATGAAGCTTAGAAAAATAAAATGACTTGTCTTAAGATCACAAAGCAAAGTGGTGCTGAAGTTTCTGCCAAAACCCACGTTGTTATGCTCTTTTGCTGTGTGACTTTGGGCATGCACTTAACCTTGCTGGGCCAGTTTGGTCATCTCTCATAACACCTGCTCTGCCTGCCTCCAGGTGGCGAGAGAATGCAAAGACGTTACACTTTAATAAAGCACATTTTACGCATTAACAAAGAAAGACTCCAGTGGCTTATAGGAATGACTGAATTTTAGCTCCCCAGTTCTGTTGGGCAGGTGTGATATCCTGAAGACATTGAGGCTCAGAGAGGTTAACGGCCCGTGGACATCTGCATACCTGCACAGGCCCAGCTGTGTGCGCAGCGCCTTTCCCCGGAGTGCCATCTTGGCGCTGAGACGGGCGTCCTGTGGGAAAGTGGGAAGGGGGGTGTTACTGACCCAAAGGGCCCACAGCCCACTTCTCCCTGACCCTCAGCAGCCCCCTTTGGTGCCCGTACCATGGTCATGCTGGACAGCTGGACCTCGGGCAGGTTGGGCGGGACCAGGGCGATGGTGAGGCTGGCAGTGACGGAGATGGTGGTTCCCGAGGGCTTGATGGTGCAGCGAGGTGGTGCCACAACCCGCAGCTCCAGCTTCAGCGGGGAGTCGATCACTGCTGGGCTCTGGGGATGGAGCAGGGAGGGTGGGTCGGGTCCCATATCTGTTCCCTGGCCAGCCTCCAGGGAGGAGGGTGTGGCTCAGACTCTGCCCTCTGGGAGCCCAGAGACTGACAAATGTGAAGACTGGCCTTGCTTCCCAAAGCCTCCAGAACTGTGTCCAGCCTCTGTGCCTTTGCTCACACAAAGGAATGCCGCCTCCCTCCTCTTTCTGCTTGCCTAAGTTCTCCGCATTCAGGATCCATCTCACATCCAAACTCCTCAGGGACAGTCTCTTTGCATTTAATATCCCAGCCCCCCACCACATCTCCTTTCTCTAAACTGCCATGCTATTTCTTCTCTAGGCAGTGACCAGGTGCTTGCTCTTCACCGAACACTGCACGAGTGTAGCTCATTTAAACCTCACAATAACCATGTGAGGCAGGTACTGGTACTGTTATCCTAATTTTTGAGAAGGGGAAATCGCGGCACAGAGAGGTTAAGTAACTTATCTAAGGTTGTGTAGTTATTCAGTTGGGACTCAGACGCAGGCAGTCTGGCAATAGAGTCCATGCCATTAGTTAGATGATGATGATGACGACATCGATAATAATAGCAGCTAGTGTTTATTGAGTACTTACTCTGTACCAGGTGCTGTTCTAATTGCTTTACGTGTACTAATTCATTTAATCCTCATGACAACCCTGGGAGGTTGTATAGTGTAGAGGAGAAAGCCAGTGTGACCTGGAACCACACAGATTCAAATCCCAGCTCTGTCACTTACAAAACTGAATGGAGTACAAGTCCTTTAATGACCACCAAAATATTTCTTTTTAAATTTTTTTTGAAGAAGAAGATTAGCCCTGAGCTAACATCTGCCACCAATCCTCTTCATGTTTTTGCTGAGGAAGACTGGCCCTGAGCTAACATCCGTGCCCATCCTCCGCTACTTTTTTTTTATATGTGGGATGCCTACCACAGCGTGGCTTGATAAGCGGTGCCATGTCCACACCCAGGATCCGAACAGGCGAATCCCTGGCCGCCAAAGCGGAACGTGCAACCTTAACCACTGCACCACCGGGCTGGCCCCTGTTTTTAAATTTTAACTCCCACTCCCTCTCCCCAGTAAACAAGCAAAAAGAATAATATGTCAGTTGTTAAAGCCCCTACGTGGCAGGGCTTGGGCTCCCAGCCCACCCTCACCATGGCTTCATGAAGAAGACAGAGCAGGAAGTAGTGACCCCCGTCACAGACTTGGAAACAGGCCTGGCAGGGTGAGGGGACTGGCCAGGCCTTCTGTCTACTCCTTGGCTGCTGCGGGGGGCCTCCACCTGCACAACTCGCTGGTCCCCTCACTGGTGTGCCCACCCACCCCGGCCACATTCCTACCTCCCCCCAACACTCACCAGGAGGACGATGTTCCCAAAGTAGGTGGCCCTCAGCAGCACGTCCAGCTCTTGGGGCACCTGGACAGGGAGACTGGGGGTGAGGCAGGAGTTCCATCACAGGCCCCCTCTGGCCCATGCCACAAACAGACCCTGGCATACCTTGTCCCCCACCAGCGACAGCTTCAGGGCACCCGCCCGGAAGTAGCTCTCCATGGCGGAGTCGAAGAAGAACTCAGAGAAGGCCACGTACACCATCCGCTCCTCCTCCTGCAGCTGGGGCTCCACTGCGCGGTTGGGCAGGCTCCAGTTCGCCTCAGCCAGGGGGAAGAAGGCTCCCTGGGGTTGGAGGGTCAGGGTCAGGGCCAAGGCAGACTGGCCCAGCACCCAGATGTCTCCAGGCCCTGTGCTTGGCACTGTGAGGGGTGGTGGGGAGTTGGACCCAGTTGCTGTCCTTGGGAGACTCACAAGCACATTTCTTAAAAAGCATGGAAAGGAGGGCGGCTGGAGTGCTGCAAGGGAGCAGTCCCACCAGGCAGGAGAAGGGAGGCTCCGGAAAGGGTTCAAGGAGGAGGTGGCATTTGAGTGGGCCTTGAAAGCCAGATGGCGGTATTGATAATAGCTGCTGCTTACATATACATAGTAATTCTTCTGTGCCCTTGACATAGACCAACGCCTTTAACCCGCATGACACCCTATGAGGTATGTTTTCTTACTATATTCTTTCCATTTACGTATTAGGAAACAGGCACAGAAAGGTTAGCCACTTACTTAAGGTCACACAGCCGGCAAGTGGCAGAGCCAGGACCTGACTTTTAGGCATTCTAGCTCCAGTCCGTGCTCTGAAATTGCTCCACTCCACTGGGAGGAGCAAAAGTAATGGCCACGTACTCACTGTGTGGCCTTGGGAAAGTGATATCACCTCTCTGAGCAAGATTCCACATACCTAAAATGAGTAGTACCAGACTCACAGGGTTGTGAGAGGATGAAATGAGATCATGTGCATAGAGCTCTATGTCCAACTCCTTCAGGGGGGTAGGCAAAGGCAATGCATGAGCAAAGGCCCTGAGGTAGGAAGCGAGGGGCATATTTGGGAAAGAGTAAGCTGCAGAGGAACCACATGAAATTGGAAGGGTGGGGCCAGACAAGCTTAAGAAGGCTGGAAGGCAAGA